GCACTAACTCTCAGCTTTATGCTGGGAAAGAATCCCTTCTTTAATTAAAAAATATTTTCCATTATAGTGACCTTGGCTGTGGGCCTGGTTTTGGTGAAACCATCCTTTTGAATGGAACAGGAGCATCCTGCGCTTCCCATCAGCTCATTTTGTGATCAGGCCGACCTGTGAGTCGTGTTCCTGAGCAGCTCAGTCTCTCTAACACCAATAGGACTGAGGGTCTCCATGCTTCATTATTTAGCTATTTGAAGAATAAACATGGAAGTGCTTCTTAGTCACATGAGTGATGAATTCAAGTCAAAATGAGAACAAGTAACACAACGTTACTATTTTGTTGAAATTTTAAGTGGCAAGAGAAATTACAGTGAAAATGCTTGTAGATTGTTTTGGTTTAATAAATGATAACCACATCTCTTTAGTTGGGTAAAATTATATATACGCTGTTCATAGAAAAATGCGTTCTGCAGAATCCTCACAGAATTGCAGCTTCTGTGTGGGTAAATTTTTCCACATGCAGAAAAGTTATGATACATATTTTCCCAGTCTGGAGATTTAGGAACCACAGTTTTGATTTGCATTTGCTGTGCTGGTGGTGATGTGCTTTCCTGTTCTTCTGGGTAAATGTTGCCCTAGCAACTCTGTTATACCAAAGTATAACTTGGTCTCTGGTTTTCTTTAATCTTTCCTTGACCTTGAAATGACTGCCTAAAGTTTATAGCCCTCATTTTTAGCCAGGGAATTTATAAGAGCTTTCTGGATTTACTGATTTCATGTTCCAGCACTTTGAGATTCTAAATAACCCTTCCACACTATTTATTCCTTTTTCTATAACAGAGAGAGTCCTCAGGGGGAAGGAGGGGAAAAAAAAAAAAAAAAAGTGTGAAGACCTTGAATTACTGCTTTCTGATCAAGGCATTCCAAGAGCTGGCATCATCCCTGTGAGCTGCAGAGGGGACAGTGTTTCCCTGGCTTTGAGTGCTCAAAAGTAGCTTACCAAGGTGTGCAAGGTCATGGAAATTGATAGGGCTAAATTATGTAACTGACAGTGGAGTTCAGATCAATTAGTTTGTTAGCCATGTTAAACAGTGATCCATTACTTGTGCATTCTTGCTACTAAAGTGCTGCTTTCCTGTTTGGTTTGCGGAAGATGGTGAGATATGCACAGGAGTAACAGGAGTCCAGATGTTTCATAAAAGTATTGGGATGATTTGTATCTTTGTGCTCACCTAGCAGTTTTCAGGATACATCTATTCTTCATGCCTTTCTGCAGAATGTGGGCTCTTTTGTATGACACTTGGTTGCATGTTTTTCTGGCACAGTTGTATATTGATTCCAAAATTAACCATTAAGATATTACTGCAATTCAAAGCAAGGTTAAAGTCAAGTAGTTCTATAGGCAGAACAGAAAAGGCTTTGTTTCTTATGGAAAAAGCTTTTCATGCCCTTGAGAAATTTATAGTGCCTCTCTTATATGGAATTGCTCCTATTAAGCGATTAGTAAGGCTTCCTTTGACTAAGTGTCAATTTGAACAGAATTTGTACGGAATTTATTTACATGAATATGTCCAGTAGATTCAAGTTATTGAGGGGAGCACGCACACCTCTCCCAGCTCAAATATACTGTGTTGTTTGAGGAAACGAACTAATAATCCCATAGTTTATTTTCCTACATGATTGAATTTTGCTACCAGCAAAACCCTGCATTTGTAGTTTGTAACATATACTGTAAGATGCAAAATAATGAAGAGAAAATAAAATATTCTCTACAGTTTTGTCTTTATTTGCCTCTTTTTGCCCAGCTACTACCACCTCCTTTCTTCACTACTATGCATAGGATTTTGTTGATTGAACTATGGACAGTGACAATGAGCAAATTATGCAAGGTCTGCCCTGGCTTAGCTGGCATCAGAAGTGATCCCACTCATCAGCTGAGCACTGAAAAATAGCATTTTGCAACAGTACTAGAATGATGGATTACAGCTGCTGCTAAGGAGAGGTTTCTGTGTGTACATAATGAGCTTTGGTTGATGGCTCGGATAGCAGAAAATGACAAACAATTTGTGTTGGCGTCTTGTGTCATTGCGTCTGGTGCACAAATTATGTCTGACCCAAGAGAAACTTGGGCTTTGGTATCCAATTGGAAAGTCTGAAATTAAACCTGATTTCCCTGTAAATCAGCGTTTCCTGCTTTCCTTGCTGAAAATTTGGCTTTCAAAAAAGCAAACCCAGACTGCAGGGTGAAGTGTGTTTGTGTGGTTTGATGATACGAGTGTGCACGCCCTGATGTCCCCGTGACTTTTTGATGTCCCCCTGTCCTTTTGTCAGACATGTTCACAAGAGGTTGGGATTTTGGTGGAACTGGGCCGGGTTATATCTCATTGTGGGGGAAACTGCTGGAAAATGTCATGCTTATTAATAACTCAAGGCCTAATCACTAGAAAATCATGTGTTTTAAAATACTAAACTTCTCATTACAAAAATCAAAAAAATATTATTATTGTGAACTGGTGAAAAGGTCTCCTGCTTTAGGGAGGAGGAGATTCTCTCAGTGTCTAGAAGGGCATGACCTTTTCCCTGTGCTGGATTCTATTAAGTATATTAATATGACCTTAAATTTTAAGGTTGCTCAAGCTGCAAGTGTTCAAAACATTCTGAATGAGCTTCTTTTCGGTTTATTTTGTTAAGCCTTTGTAATAATTGTAAATAGACATCCTTTTACAGAACAAATAGTGAGAGGTCACATAATCCTTTTTGTGTGTATATATATCTGTGTGAGGCTGTATTTCATTACAAAGGGATATTCACAGGAGCAGAAATGTAGGTAAAGGTTATCAAAGATATTTAGGAAGAATCCTTGGTACAAAAATAAAGTTAAGTCCAACAGAAGTGCAATTCGGGGGGCCGTTGGGGCGTGGTCGTTCCCGCCCATCCCTGCGCGTGCGCGGACCGTTAGGGCGCTGCTCCCCTCCCTCCTGGCGCGTGCGGACCGTTAGGGCGTGGTCGTTCCCGCCCACCCCTGCGCGTGCGTGGACCGTTAGCGCGTTGTTCCCCGCCGGCGCGAGGGGACCGCTAGAGCGGGGGCTGCTCTTGTGCAAACGGCTCCTGCGTCTCCCATCGCGTTCCCGTCGTCCGAGGCTACACGGTGTGTGTCGTGGTGTAAATTGGGTGGTGGTCCCGATGTTTCTGAAGATGATAATGAGAGGAAAGGCGTTAAGAGGCCCGCAAGGCAAAAAGAGTGAAGGTGATTCACTCTTTTACGCAACTATATATTCTCCTTTTAACGGAGCAGAGCTGGTTAAATTTTTCCTTGAGAAATATTCAAAAAAAGCCTATAATTTGGTTGGGATTGCAGGGAATTTAGTATCCTTTAAAAATAAAGTATGTTTTGACATAGAGTACTGAAATGTTTGCAGTTTAAAGAATCATTTTTTTTCTGTATTGTCAAAAATACAGATCAAAACAAATGAGTGTTTTTATTTGAGTGCTTAAGCTATTGATTCACAGCAAAACTGGTGACTAAATCTCTTTGAAGCTTCTCATGGGAAAGCCAAGAAAATGAAGTTCTTCATTGCTAACACATATAAGAAACATTCTGTTTTTCGGAACGGTTGTGGTGTTGGTTGTTTGAAACTGTTTTTAACAAACCCACAGTGACTTGATGTGGTAAGTTTGTTATTTGAAGACACAATCTTTACTGACACAATGTAACCTAAGAGGGCTTTGCAGCAGCCTATGCTGGGAATTTGGTCTGTATGTTGTAGGAAACCTAGGAAACCCAGGGCAGAAAACAGGGAACAGTGTGTGTAGGAATGTGGCCCAGCTGTGCGATACCTCTGTGCAGCTCCAGAGGGTTCAGAAGGCGTTTTTTTGTTTAACATTTTCATTTGCATCGAGTGTTTTCTTTCTTTCAGAAGTTTAGGAGGGGCTGAAATAGCATATTTCAGTTCACAAAAGTTTTGTTTTAAATCAATGCTGTGCTGGTCTCTGGTGAGAGCAAAACAGTATCCCGTAGTGTGTGCTGCCGAGCGAGGTGGCTGGCTCCCCTCTGCCGGCCGCTGGCATGTCAGCATTAATCCAGTACATCCTCATTCAATTGCTACAGTTTTATATCCTTCACAGCGTATTATACAGAAACAGTCTGAATTCGTACGTGTAAGGTTGATGTTAAGTGTCATGCCTCTGCAGCTTTCAGGTTTTTATTTTCATTTGGTCTGTTGTTTTTTTATTTTTTTATTTTATTTTATTTTTTATTTTATTTTTAAGAGAAAAATCTCATATTTGCATAGCAGTAGTTTTTCTGGAGGAAGTCAGCAGAGAGATTAGAGGAAATTGTTCTATACTTGCACTGATACAGGCATGTATGTTTTAGTGGTGGAAAGGGGCAGAGGGGAAATAATTTCAAGTCATGTCTGCTCTGCAATACTTAGTAGTTAGGCAACCATTACTCCCCAGGTGTTTTAAAGGTTCAGTAAAAAGCACAGGCCAGCAAGAATCCTCTCACTCTGGTCATAAAAAAAAAAGTTGAAGGTGATACCAAAGTAAATGTTGTGCAGGGTGAGGAATTCTGTGTGATTAAGGTCTCTGGTACTGCTGTGTTGGCAGTAGGGTGTCCTTTGTAATCTTTTCACCTGTGTCTGAGAACTGATGGAAGTTAGAGAACTTTCGAATCTATACCAAAGTGTTACCTTTACAACTGATTTCTAGGTGTTCTGTAGTCCAGGTATCTTGGTTCAAACCCATGGCTGTTGACTTTTACTAGTGACACTCTGCTTGTGAATTTGGTCATTCCTATGCAGGGAACAAGTTTCTTGTTCCTGGAAAAAAGATTCCTTTCTTTCTCTCTCCTCAACACCTTCTCTTGCAACCCTAAGGAACCAGCTGACCTTTATCCAATTGTCAGTCAGTGTCTTCATTCAAATATTTTCCTTTCCCTTCCTTTCATACAGGTGGATAAAGTTTGTGGACAGCCCAAACGACAAGAGGGAAACCTGTCATCAGACACCATAGTGCCAGTGAAGGAAGTGACCGAAATGCAAACGCTTGTGATGGCTCACACTAGTCTGAACAATAAGAGAAGGTAATAAGCAACAGCTGTTTTGCAATAAGCTCTGTGGTCCATAGCTTGTGATAATGGGTCTTTACAGAAGAGTGTTTAAGCCAGAGCCCCAGTTCTGTCATCCTGTCTGTGCACTCTCCAACCGTTGCCATTGCTGATGGTTACACAAATGTGTATGGGGTTGTCACATTGCAGATCTTCCCAAGAAAAGCTTTTTTGCGGGTTTTTTTAATTTTTTTTTAAAAATCTTTACTAGCACCAACTTGCACTTTATTTCCAGAAACTTTCAATGGAAAGAATTGAAATTTTTGCCAAATGAGGTCTGAATAACTTCAATTAGTGACTCTGAATTACTGCATTACTTAAAATATATATATATGTGTGTATATATATATTCAGTTATTCTCAGTTATTCAGATCTTTAGGGACTGGGGCCCTTCCAGAAAGGAAAGGGAGAAGCAGATGAAGGAAAGACTCATACTCACGACAAAAAGTGAGTCCTTTGTTCCTCCAAGATAGGGAGAAGAAATTAGATTTCTATTTTTTTCACTGCTGTAGGTAATAAGATCCCCTGAAATCTTCTAGATCTGTTATGTAAGGAGCAGAACAGCAATGAACCATGTGTGTTTAGATTTGTCCCTCTTGGTCACTGTTTTTCAACCCCATGACAATTTTGGACACTAGACAACTGAAGTTTTGCTTCTGTCCCCAGCCCAGGTATCCTTGCTTTCAGATCTTATGGGGTTTCTTTTAGTTTTTCTCCCAGAGCTCCTGGATTGTTATTGTGTAAATTTTAAGTGGGGAGGGAAGGATGTTTTTGCAGTGCTGCTTATGATACATGAGGAAATTTCAGAGCTAACTGACCATAAAATTGCAATGACATATTTCTGGCTAACATCCTGTGCTTGGAGCAGCTTTAGTAAAGTGAGTAGAATTGTGCAGGGCTTATGTAACTAGCCAAGAATAGTGTGGCTCAGAGAGCCCTTGTGCATCTCTGTGTTGGAAGGATGTACAGACAGTGACAATAAGATTTACATAGCATAATTTCTAGTGTCTAAGCTAATAACATGAGATTTTTATCCACTTGTATTTTAATTCTCATCTAACCTTATATAAATGCAACAGTATTTTTACAATAAAAAATAGCAGCAAGCTTGTTTTTTTGAGTGATAACAGTATTCTTCCCCTAGTTCTTCTTAATGGATAGTCAAAACAACAATTTGTGCTAAAGCTTGTAACTAATCTCTTTTTACTGTGCTAGTGGAATATCATAGAAAAGGGCAATAAGGAAACTAATAAATTCAGCATATTCAAAAAATAATTACAAAAAAAAACCCAAGGTGGAAAAGAAAGTATAATAAAACTAGTTTACTGTAAATTAGCCAATGTTTTCCAAAATTGGTATGCACACTGAAAATTATTAAAAGCCTCATTTAAGCTGAGTCCATCCTTAGATAGTCAGTATCAAGCCTTATTGAAATACAGTGTCGATAGGTATTGTGGAGAGCCTATGCACCAAAAATTAATGATGGAGCCATAATTAGTGAGTGGGGAATATTTTTAAACTTTTCACAATTTGTCATAAAACACACGACGCGAAGCTTGTACTTTGCTTTTGGAAGTAATTGTGTAACAATAAGGAGAGTAAAATACACAGTAAATGATAAAGCATAAACAATAGCAGTCATTTCATAACGTATGGTAACAATAAAGTAATTTTAAGTACTACAATTTTATAAATGTATGGGGAAAATAATTGTTGCAGTGAGTTGTGTAAAATGCTCTTAGAGTGACAGAACTGCTACAGGGGGTGTAGATTCTGGGAGTAGTTACAGGAATCTTTCTTGGTGCCATAGCTTCTGATAATTTAAAAAACGAAGGGCAATAATCTCAGCTGTCTGTCAGATTAGGTACTAGATCACACAGGCTTTTTTGCTGGCCTGAGTCCCAGTCTGTTGCTATGTTTAGCAGACATCTCTGCAACCCACCCTTAATTCAAATGAGAGAGGGAATATGACCCTTCAATTTTAGAACATGAGAAGAAAGAAAGAAAGAAAAGATGAGCTAGCAGTATCCAAGCTGTGGCCATTTCTATGCGTTTGGCAGAATATTACCAAGCACAAAAAGAAGAAACAGTCTGGTTTAGGACTTCAGAGGGGAAGAAAAAAAATCTATTATCCCTACTTAAAGATGGATGTCTATAAACATCTAATGTGCAACAGTTTAGTTGTACGTGCATATAAATGTTGCAAGTGTACTACCTCTTCAAAAGGGCAGGTTGCAAAATCCATACCTGACTTATGTCAGCCTTTTTTCCTGAAGGGTCTGAGTTTCAGTTGCTTCCAGCTGTCTGATGGAGCTCAGGTTGCTCATGCATTTGAAAATCAGGGTGTAAAGCTCCTGAGGAGCTGTTTGTGACAAGGCTGTTTCTGCAGGCTGCTGAGATGATTTCCCTCAGCCTGACTGGTTTGTCTTTTGGGTTGGTGCCTTTTGGGGTCTGACTTGGAAATAGGAGCTCACTCAGTATTCCCTCTTAAGGCTCTCTTAGACTCTGCTGTTCTGCACAGCTTGATCATGCATGGTTCCTGAATTTCTGTAGCAACTGGATCCTCTTCTGGGATAGTTAAATCCTTTTCTGCTCCCCTTACCCTCACTAATTCCTGTGAGATTTCTCATCTTTCTTTATTTTCCTCCACATTCCATTCCCATATATTTTTTGCTGTGCACCATTAAGTGCCATGGATAGTGATGTAAGAAGCTGAAACTTAAATAAATGCTGCATGATCTTGTGGTAAAGCTTTTCCTTTAAATGTGCTGAGATGTATAGTTTTTTTACTTTGCATTGCACAATAGGATTCAGGGTTTAACTGAAACTGGCAGGATTGCTGTTGTAGTCCTTTTTTAATGTTCAGATTGCTCTAACGTATAGTAGAGGTGACAAGAAAATGGAAGACATGATGGTACAGGGAATGTACATGGCATGTACAGGATCTCAACAGTAAATTGGGATGTTCAACACATTACCTTCCTAGTTAGGATCAGTGCTCCTGGCAAAGTTGAACACCTGCATGTCTGTTGCATGTAGAGTTTAAATTCGCTAAATATAAACTGGTTGCAAATCTGTGTAGAGAAATACATTATGTTTATCAAAGAAATACAGCATATTTGGCCCATAATTGGAAGAGTCATACCTTGAAATTGTGTTCTGTTGATTTCTTTGTTATTCTGTGACCTTGCAGATCTTCTATATTTCTTACAATAAACAATTTGGAGATTCTTCAGAAGTGTTTGAAGACAAGGCCATCTATTTTATTTCATATTAATTATCTATTGTATTAGATCTCACATGGTTTTATTCAAATTCGAGAATTAAAGTGATAGGACAGAATAGATTATTAAGGTCAGATGCAAGTTAACTTGCTATGGAAAAGAGGGAAGACCAATGCTTTGCTACTGGTTCTGCCCTTTTTTTTTTTTTTTTTTGGATTGGCCATCTTGGAATCATTGTTTTCGTGGTAGTGAGTGACACTTGCCTAAGGAGACAGCTTTCTGGGGGCCATCCCTGACCATTTGCTCCTGCTAAGTATGATGGCAAAGCAGTTCTCCATGGGGCATCCTCCAAACTGCTCAGGAGGAAGCTTACTGTTTTCAGTAAAAGTACCTGAGTTGGCAGGTATTTTAAAACTTACTTGCTGGCATGTGTTATTCCAGGTATTGCCATTTTTTCATAAACAAATACCAGTATAAGGAGAGAACAGAATATAGTATCAAATCACTCAAGTGTAACATTGCATCAAGGTGTTAATGTTGAATACAATATTTAATGTTAAATTAGGATCCTGGTGCCAAAAAGTGGATTTGTAGCAAATAGTTACCATTGTAGAGGGCTCAAATTAGGAATTACTTTTAAAAAGTTTTTCTTAAGTATGACTCTATGTCCTATCCATCTTGCTTTGTAAGGGTCTTTTTCTTTCAGGGGATCTTTCTGACCAAAAGTGAACAGCCAAAAATATTTCAAGTCGCAATATTTAAGAGACAGCACATTGCTCATTGCCCCCAAAAAAATGAATGCCGCACATTTGTGTCATGGTGTTCATTTTAAACCGTTTGCCGTTGTTTTCTTGTACAGCTGCATATATTTAACAGTTCTCCCGTTTGGTATCAGTTATGGTAAACTTTATGTCCACTTCAGTTATTTTTAGCTTTTGGCTGTGTGCTACATTTGTAGTTGTGCTTTTATTTGAAAATGATCGGGGAAAACAAAATCTCTGATTGTGTGTGTGTGTGTGTGTGTTTTTGTCTTGCATTGATATTTTTAATTGCATCTATGCTTTCAAGAAATCTCATGACAGTTTTCTTATTTATTTTCTTATATTATCCTATGCATGTGCTTGATGAACTTTCTTTCAAATAATTTTTACTTTTCTCTTTTGTTTCTCATTTCTTTCCCTCATTTATCTGAATTCCTGCTCATCCCCTACTCCCCAACCTCTCCTGATTGATGCTTATTCTCCCCGGCCTATTCCAGTTCTCTGCCTCTGAAAGCTTCAAAGAATGACAAATCAAGAAGTTTGAAAAAAATCTCTCGGTAAGAATGGAAACCAGGTGACATATTTGGTTGTCTGTACGCTTAGCTCTTGTCCACTGTAAGTTGCTATTTCAACTCTAATCTAGAAATTGACATACTCTTGATTAGTGCTTTTATGAGACAATGGGAACCTGTATTTGCTACCAATTGTGTTTAACTTTTTTCTGATGAAAAGTTAAATTACTCACTGGGTAAGATTGAGTTGGGAACAGAATGTTCCATGTGCTAAGATGCTAATTTAACATGTCAAAGGACAACTCAGACTGAAAATGCGAAGGATTTTAAGTCTCTTGGTGTGAGCTGAGTAAGATGACAAGCTTAGGCTTTATTAAAAGGGTGATCGTCTTCCTCAAAGAAAAGGGCATTTTAGAAGATTTGTAAATCTTCAGCATGTGTCACCTTTGTGTAATTGGTACCTATTCCATCAGGTAGGTAGCTTTGTGTCTGGCTCAAGCTTTTCTACCTTAATACTTTCAGGTTATATGCATTATTGATTAGCCCAGGGGTAGCAGTTCTTGCTTCCTCATTGAAAGCCCTGAAATCCTGCTGCTTTTTCTTAAAAGGAGAGCTTTTGTGCAGTGGTAGTGGGAGTTAATTCCTTAGAACCACTTGATAACTACCTTATCTAGGTCAGGATTTGGTCACACATGAGAACTGGCTCAGTTAAGCACTTCCATGAAAG